TGTGCAAGTAGCAGTAGCAACCCTATTGTATTTCTGTATGCTAATTCGAAAAGAAAAATATTGGAAGGTTAGTTTTCCAGTGAACTACCCTTCCAACTGACTACTAGTAGTCAGTAATCATCTTTTATCTCAAAGGAAGTTTATTTCCACACTGCTACATTTGAATGACTATACACATCTCCCCTTGTTCTTTGTTGCCATTGTTGTCCTTTCAGGGGAATCCCACAATTGAGTACTGTATGAATATTTTATACATAGAAAATGAGGTCCTTTGATTCTGATGGATTTAGGAATCTTCCTCTCCAGGAACCTATTATGAGAGGGCATGGTGTTTGTAGGTGTTTGGGAGTAGGGTGGTGTGGTGAGGCCGCTTTATGTTACAGTTATCAGGCCTCACTCTGCCATGTACTAGTTTTCTACATGACCCTGGACAACTCTCTTGATAACTGTAAATTGTTCCTCTGTGAAATAGCGATTATTAGTCCACATGCCAGATTTGCTTTTCATAGGTTTGTTATGGGATCTTTAAAAAATTTAATAGGCTTTAGTAATATGGTATTTTAATGATTCATTATCAGTCTGTCATTCCTGAATTGTTGGTTTTTCATGATGTATTTAATCTGTAATTTAGGAACTGATTCCTGCTTAAAGCTTCCCTTATAAGTTAATTAGTACTTGGAAATACTTTCAATAGAAGTTATGAGTGATGGTTTGTTTCTTAGATCGAAAAGCCTTTTTACTCACTAGATATTTCTGTGGGGGTAATGTGCTCTGGATTCCAGCAGTATTCTAGAAACTTATTTTTTAGTTTGTTTTAATGAAAATAATTCTCTCCACCTCCCATCTCATCATCCCCCATATTTTGGTTAGAGAAAAAGACTCTTGATTCTTATTTTAACAACTGTCTCAGTGCTTGGCACAAAATTGGTTCTCCAAAAATATATGAGCTGAGCTCTCCCTCCGAGAATGGATGGGCTTCTTGGGAGCAAGGATCAGAAGCAAGAGGAGGGGACCTGGATGAAGCAGGACGCTAGAGGGATGGGGAACTCTGGCAGCTTCCATTAGAACTGGTGAATGGTGGGGCATAGAGATGAGTACATGGACTTAACAGTCGCTTTGTTGTGAGGATCCAGAGAAGTGTGACATGTGAAGGTGTATATGTATGTGAGCGCTCTGCGCAATCTTTGCTCTAGGTGAAAATTGCTCTGTGGGTTGGCAGTAGTCAGTGATTCTGTTTTTCACGTAGTGGCCCATAATAGAGATACGGCTTTTTTCTTTTTGGGGGCTGAAGTTGGGGTAGGGATAAGTTCTGGTAGAGCATTTCTCCATTATTGTATTCACATTAATGTATTTATATTCATATTCTTCCTATCTCCCGGTTGCTTTTTTGTACATGTATGAAAGTCAAGGACTTTATTTTCCCCTATAAAGTTGCCACGTGATCTGTTCCTGCCTACTTCTCCAGCCTCATCTTGTATTATCCCCTTTTCTCAGTAAGTATCAGTACTGGCCTTCTTAAGTTTGCTTCTAATATTAAGGCCTTATTTTCAGTTGTTTTCCCTATCCAGAGCTCTGGGTCTCTCTTGTCATTCTCATGTTTTTATTGAACCCAAGTTCGTGTGCCCAGTGCACAGTGGGGCCAAACTGAAATGTCAGAGTTTGGAGCAGAGAAAGTTTGGAGCAGAGAAAGTAAGGGCCAAGCAAGGAGAACAGATGGCTCGTGCCCCCAAATCCTGAATTCCTCATTAGTTTTTGGGGAAGAATTTTTATAGGCAGTTTTGGGAGGAGAGCTGCAAGGTGTGTAACCTTCCTCTTAATGGTTGGTGGTGAGGTAACAGAATGGTGTTCCAGGAATCTCAATCATCAGCCTTCTGGTTCCAACGAGTTTGGGGTCTCTGTGCTTGTACTTAGCCTAAAGTTAACATTCTCCACCTGGGTAGGGCCCTTAGTTCCTGTGGAAGAACTTAGAGATATGTACCAGATTGTTATGCATCCCCCCTGAGGGGGAACCAGGGCCCTGCTCTTTTCCACATTCCCTCACTCCCCTAATTAGTAACTATTTGAATCTGCTCTTTGAAACTCACGAGGCTGAAAAAGCCTTTTTCCTACAAACAAGAAATTGGGACGCGGAAAGGCTTTTGTGCCTGGGAGGGCCTCACAGGGTCCTCCTACTGGGTTTCAATGTCTTTCGTAAATATCACTAGAGAAACCTTCTCTGAACATCCAATCTAAAGTAACACATTCAATTATAGTCTTTAACATTATCTTATTTTCTTCATTTCATTACCTCTTTAATTTTCTTTTTTCTTTCATTTCTTTCCTTTTTAAAACAGATACGTCATTTTCCATTAGAATGTAAACTACATGAAATCAAGGGCACCATTTTGTTCACTCTTATATTCTCAGCACCTAGAACAATGCTTTCAGCAGTATTATTGGCTAAATCAATTAATTAGCTCCCATGTGATTCAGTGTGAAGTCCTTTATTGTTTAACATTGATCCGTTTTAATTCAGCAAATATTAAGCATGTATCATGTATCTTGTTGGGCCCATAAGATTACAGAGATGTCTGTTCTATCACTCAAGGAAGGCAATATTAGATTTGAAGACTAATACGGCTTTGGTGTTCAAGTCCAAGGACTGCCACTTAGTTGATTGTGACCTTGGCAAGGTAAGGTCTCTGATCCTTTAGTTTTCTACCCCAAAAATGGGGTTATATAATAGTATGTACCACATAGAATTATTATTAGGAATGAATAAAGCCCTTAGTACAATACTTGATGTGTAATACATGCTCAGATACTGGCTTTTTTAACGTTTAATTTTTATTTTAGCTGGCTGCTCTTAAATTGCTTGGGGGAGAATCAGTGAATGTCTGCTCCTCATACCGTGGACAGTTCCCTTGAGAGAACTGCAAATCAGTGCTGGTCTACGTTCTTTTACAAGAGTGTACAATTGAAACTATGTTTTGTCATTCAGTACATTAGTAGAGCTAGACTTTCTAAGTCGTACCTCAGTTTTAGAGTTTCTGAAGTTGTGCTTCTGATACTTTGACAGTTACTGAGATTTACTTAGAAAACTTTAAGCACTTTAAGATTTTTGCCCCACTGCCTCCTGCCTTCAGTCTGTTTTGATTGAGTAGGTTTGACGAGAGCATTGAGAATTTTGCATTTCTGTGAGGTAGTGCTGGTGTTGCTGGTTGCCAATTCTTGGACCGCACTTTGGGGTTTTTCTAGAATTGTTCTAACATAGGAGCTACTAGCCACATGTGGCTATTGAGTACTTGAAATGTGGTTAGTTCAGAGTAAGATGTGCCTTAAGTCTAAAATATACACAGGATTTTGAATACTTAGTATAAAAATGTAAAATACCTCTATTAATCAGTATTTTCAAAATATTGACTACATGTTGAAAGGATAACATTTTGAACACATTGAGTTAAATGTGATAAAGCTAATTTCACTTGTTTCTTTTTAATTCTTAACATGGCCACTAGAAAAGGTAAAAATTACATACATGGCTTGTTTTGTGGCTTGTGTTGTATTTCAACTAGACAGAAAAACACACTGCCTATTTCTTTAAAGTATCTTCTTAGGGCCTCCATAAAGTGAATCTCTCTTATATAGTCTGTTTTTGAAATCATACATTACCAACAAATCTTCTAAATTGAGTAAAAATCCATTCACTTATTTTTAAGTGGTAACAAACACAGAAACTTATATTGTTCAAGAAACACCTAATTAGTGAGGGAGACAATATATATTTACAAGGTACCACCCTAGTCAGCTCTAAAATATAGATAAGAACAGAGTACTAATTTAAAATCTTAATCCAGTTTATTGGTAATTGGTAATATTTTGTCTTGTTTCCAATTATTATGCCCTAGCCCTGCTTTACTCCCATGGACTTCAAAATTGTTAATTTCCTTAAATGTTGTAATATGTTGGGTCAAATTTCTTGCTGAATCAACATTTGAGACATTCTCTTTTCATTAGTCATTGCAATTACTTACAGCTCTTTAACAAGGGAAGTAATTTACTTTGGCTATATTCCTTATAGGTTAATGACTTTTAAACTTTTACTATCTGGAACATTCTTCAGTTTTAGGTAACTGTTAACACAAAGCTAATTTCCAGTCACCTCTGCACTGAGAACTAGAGTTATTTTCGGTCATTTTTAGCTTTCAATTTTAATCTTACATACTTTGTATATGTATATTGTGAACAACTGCATATGCTTCCCTAAGTATATAATTGTACACAGTTTTGTATATGATTAGAAACAGAATCCTAGAGAATTCAATAAATTGCTCTCGTATTTTTAGAATGGTTTCAGATACTTGGTGTAGGATTAGATGATTCAACCCTTAAGATCCTTTCTAACTTGGGGTTTATATTTTGTTTGTTGGTTCATTTCATTCCCCCCGCCATGATGTTTTCTTAGGTATGTATTTGTCTTTTATATTTCAAAAAATGTTTTCGACATGTATTAATGATGGCACATAAAATGATATTATGAAGTACTTAGCAGTCAGTCAAAGCATTCCTTTCTCATTTCTCTTCCTTCTGATTTAATTAAGGATAAAGTAGTTAATACTTTTATAATGTTTATCTTAAAAAAAAAAAACTAAGGCAGAACGCATTATGATTAGAGTCTTGGGCAGGCAGTGATATTTAACCAGACTTTAGTAACTTTGGGTTTTGCTTGTCGGGGTTTTTTGGTTTTTGTTTTTTTCCAGTTTATTATTAAATTCTGTATATGGGACAATAAAAAGCAGTTTCCTTTAGAAGTTAATTTAAGCAAAAGCGACTTGAATTGCTAGAGATTTAAGTATTATGGATGGTACATTAAAAAGATAGAAATCCAGCAGAAACATGAGAGTAGGTAAATGATTGAAGTATAGGAATAATTCAGAACATTGAAGCTTTTTCTCTGTTTAAATTACTGTTAATTTTTTAAGCATAATGTACATTCAGGTATGTTAACTTGTCATTGCCAGGTTTCCATGGATCTCAATAGTGCCAGTACTGTTGTTCTTCAGGTCTTAACACAGGCCACTAGTCAGGATACTGCTGTGTTAAAACCAGCTGAGGAGCAATTAAAACAGTGGGAGACACAACCTGGTTTCTATTCAGTGTTACTGGTAAGTTGTTTTAAAATAGTTCACTGCTATTTTTAATAAAATGAGACACTCTTGTTTTCATTGTTCTAAAATCTTACATGTATTGGTCGTTTAGTGAAATTGATCCAGATGTTTGGCTACCATTTCTATTGCCACATATTAATTCAGGGCATGGTTCTTTGAGGATGTTTAAGAAATGTTTGTTGATGCTTGAATAAATAACCCAATAGGATACTGGTAGTATCTGCTCAGAAGGCAACACTGCTGGTATTCTGGTTTAGCATGTTAATGCTGACCTGAAGATCGTAGATAGTACACTTCCATGCTTTGCCTTCATGCTTGTCCTCACCCCAGTTAATTTATATCATTAGGGTCTTTCAGGTCTCCCCACTGCAGCATCAGAGTCAGGTCTACCTTGCTCAGGGTATTTTACTTTTATTTCATTTTGTTTTTTATGTCTAGTGTTTTTTTAATAACACTACTTTATTTTTATTTTATTTTTATTATTGTTATTATTGTTATTATTATTATTATTACTTGGTGGAGGAGATAATTAGGTTTATTTATTATTTATCTTTTAAAATGGAGATACTGGGGATTGGACCCAGGATCACGTGCCTGCTAGATCTGCACTCTACCACAGAGCTACACCCTCCCCCCTAGGTGTAGGTGTTTCACTTTAAAACATCATTTTCTTTTCCACATCTAAAATTTTAATTTTCTTAACATAGCTGATCTTTTCCTAGGTGTTATGGGAAATGGTTTAATAAATAACAATGTATGCTTTAAATAAATCTTTCTGGAAATTTAAAGCTTTTGGTTAATTAATCAAAATTATTCTATCAATGCCAGCGGTGGCCTTTCATTCCAGTTAAACGATGTCTTTTTGTACAGAGGGTCTTTCTTACCCTTTTCTTCTTCTGAAAATTTGAGAACTCTGGTAAGTGTTTGAGATTTAATTTCTGGCCATGGCAGTGAGGCTACCAATTGGATCAAAAACTGATTCAGCATTTGTGACTGCGTCAAAAATTCAGAGTAGAACTTTTTACTGTATCTTGTGAAATAGAAAACCATGGAATTTGACATATATATTATGACTTCATGGCAAAAGTTTGAGTTGTTCAATTTAAGAAGATACTAGTTAGTGCCTGTAGGGGAAATTAAATGTCTAGAATCATACTTGATATTCTGAATATAACATGAAAGTTGGTTGTTTGGCACAGTAACAAAAGATAAAAAACTGATTTCTAAAGATTCTAAAGAAAATATCTTAGTCTTATACATAATCTGAACATCGTGTTTGTAAAATTTGGGCATAGTGTAAATCTTTAGACAGCCTCTGAGTGTCTTTACTCTTCATATGTCTATTTAAATAAATGTGTTCTGTAATTGGCCTTCTGTTTTTTATGCCAAAATATAAAACACTTCTGGAATTTCTCATTTTAGTTACTGCTTGATCTTGAAAAAAAATAGGCTTGCTTGATACTTTTGTGCAATGTATGAATTATTAATATTAAGTGTCTAGACCTTTTTGTTTTTATTTTTACCAGTATACTTTTCTTAGAGGGATAGTAAAATTTCTTTCATATGGAATAGATTACAGTAGATTTAAAAACTGCTGAGTTTATTTCTTCCTTTTCCCCCGTACTCACTGTTGTGGCACATTTGGTCTAATTGAGCCTTAGCTGTCCATTTCAGTTTGGAGATTCCTTAATTTGTATACCTGATCTCAGGCTTGTGTTCCAGTCTGTTATTTAAAATACTTATGGAATATTTCTACTTGGATTGACACCTGAAGCTTGGCTTTTCTTGGTTCCTAAGTGTAGCTGAAATATGCTGAGATCCACCACCTTCCACCGTATTCCCACATTACTTCCATTCATTCACTCATTTGCTCAAAAGATGTTTATGAAGTTTCTGCTTTGCTGAGCTCTGTGCTCGACTCCATGCATGAGACACAACTCAATCTAGTATAGAAGGTAAACATGTAAAGTGTTGAAATCAAATGCAATTTATGTGGTGAGTGAACCCATGTCTTCTTTTGCAAAAGAGACCCGAAATAGGGATTCTAACTCAGTTGTCAGGGGTCTTAAGGAATAAATTGGCATTATACAGCTTTCTTTTTAACTTTTCTTTGGTATGCACTTGATTTAAAAAAAATAGGATTATGGGATACATACCAATTTTTAATACTTAACATGTAAATATTTTTTGATAGTAAAAGACTTATTTCCGCATTATTATTTTTGATTTTGAGGTTTTTCCACACAAGGTTCTGTTTAAGAGTTCGGCTCTAGGAATTTGAGTTGTTTTGGTCTGAGGTGTAGTACAATTTTAGTCAGTTAACATTCCTATAATTCCTTTTTGTTCTAGATACTCACTATTTTAGAAACATTTTTTGGAAAGCAGTAAAACTCTTTAACTCTCAGTGTTTGTGACATTTTAAGTTATAGTGTAAATATTAGTTTTTCTATCCTTTTAATTTCCATATACATTTATAACTATCATTTATAAATTTTTGAGAACACTTTTAATAAATCTGTTGATTAATTTTAAAAGTCACAGAGCAGTTGTAATTTTGATTATCAAAATGATATTGTATGGTTTGGCATCTACAGTCATTTTTACATGTCCCACTACTGTGCAAGGCGAGGACTGCCTGTAATTTGGATTAACACAGTGAATGCATTTTTTGAATAATGGTTATTTTTGAGTTGAAATTATTCATATCACATCTGCCTTTATATTATTTAAAACTGTTTTGCTATCAAACTTTAAGTATAATCACTTTGATAAGGGAGTACTTTGAAATTGTTTATTTCATAGCATAAATTGATAAGCCAGGGTATTTGACTCCTTAGACTCTTTGAATCTATGCTGTGATAGGTCTACTTTTTCTTTTTTAATTTAGAGTTTTTTATTTTAGTTTTGTTTTTGTGTTTATGTAGATGATGCTGTTTGTTTCCAAGTTTAAATTTCTTACTGCGATAGATTTCACACATACCTAAAAGTAGAGTACATAATGAATTTCCACATACCTATTACTCAGCTTACATAATTAAAATACTCCTGAGCAGATATGCTTTCTTACATGAATTGTAGAGCTATCGATATGTAGAAAATAACAATATGATATATGTAGTGATAAAATTTAAATGAAGCATTTAATTAAAAATGTATCTGGAGGGGAGAGTATAGCTCAATGTGGTAGAGCACATGCTTAATTAGCATGTTTGAGGTCCTGGGTTCAATCCCCAGTACCTCCTCTTAAAAAAAAAAGAAATAAGTAAATAAATAAATGAACCGAATTATCCGCCCCCCCCAATCTATCCATACTTGATTGTGGTATATTAATGATACTTTTAACTTATTACATGTTCATTCTGATACTTTGTTTTTTATTTACAGAATATCTTCACAAACCACACTCTGGATATAAATGTTAGGTGGCTTGCTGTGCTATATTTTAAAAATGGAATTGATCGCTACTGGAGACGTGTAGCACCTCAGTAAGTTCCATCTTTCTCCCTCTTTCTGTGTCATCCTTTTCAAATTCAGGAAGGAATAAGACTTATCTGTTAATCTTCATTCTGTATGTAAAAGAATGCATTTGTGCTTACTTCAGCAGCACATATACTAAAACTGGGACAGAGAAGATTAACATGCTCCCTGAGCTAAGATGATATGCAAATTTGTGGAGTGTTTGATACTTAAAAGAAAAAAAGTGCGTAACTACTGAAGAAGAAAAGTGTTCTACATAGTTAATTACAGTCAATATCCATATTATTGCTTTTCTCCATGAGTTTTTCATTTTGTTTTTTTTCCTCTTTGGATAAGGTATGTGGATTTCTTGTGGACTTTCTTGTCTGTGTTTTTGAGGATTTCTAATTTTATGGGCATAAAACAAATGCTCAGTTAATGATTCATGTTGATTTTTTTTTAAAGGATTTTTTTTTTATAAGGCTAGGATTTTGGAAAGTGTCATTGAGAAGGAAGTCCCAGATCATTTCTGAGCCAACTGGAAGTTAATTCCCTAGTCTTTCTGCATAATTGCCTCTGTGGTGGAAATTGGGTAGTATACATTTGTAATCTCATGAGGTTCAGTTGTAACTTCTCTGTGGGTGGTTAAGTGAACAAATTTCTCTTAATAGTTAATTACATGTTAAAGATAGAAAGATGTGTAGTCAGGACTCAGGAATTTGATAGGAAAATAAGTAAACTTTGCCAAAGAAGTAACATAGTCTTTGTTCTCCAGTAGATGGCACTGTGGCACTACAGCTCTGTAGTTTTTATATTAATAAGACCTTAAAAAAAAAACTGAGTCCTCAAAGTGCATTTAAAATATACCTTTGAATAATATTAGAAGTAACTAGAATATTTTAAGGCTACACAGAGAATACTATAGTATAAAGCAAAACTCTCTTATTTTAGAAATCATAATTTTAAGAGAAAAGAAGTATTTTGTGATGAGAAATTATATATTATTGAGTTGCAGGAAACAGTGCAGTAATACATATGTTTCTACTGCTATGGCCAATTAAATTTTTTATGTCTCCTAAAATTCACTTTGTTTTACTGGTTATCTGAAGAATATGGTTATAAATGATGATCTTGGATGGGAGAGTAAATTATGATGAGATAGTTCAGATTGTACTTTCATGTAAAAAATTAGAACTGGAATTTAGTTTAAATTTTAAAAGTTAAGGGAGATATCATATGGTATTACATAGTTATACCTCAGGATCTTTTAGTATATATTGAGATACAAGCTAGAAAGGAGAAGAATGTACTTAGGGAGCAAGGATTAATTATCAAATTCATATTTAAATTTAAGACACTTGAAAAAAATCTGCTTATTTGTGTTTTTAACTAAGTTCCATCTTATACTTCCCATTCTTATCACTATTTTCACAGAATGATTAATTTAAGCCTATATATTATTAGTATGTACAATGCCACTTTTGGGTCCTAATTAGATACTCTCCAGTTTGTACTTGGGATATAGTCTGAATTCATCTAATGATAACATGTGCATAAAATTGAAAGTGGAATGTTAACTGTTATTGGAGAGTTGCTAAAGACATGAGGATTTTCCAGGTTAATAGCTTATTTTCTTTAATATGTATATTCTTTTGCATAATCTCTTTTTGTAATTTGGTAGGTAATTATTATATTCTCTTAATTTAAAATTATGAAAACTGTTGAACCTGGCTCCTTGGCATAGAATAAAACTTGAACTTCAAGCTTGAATTAAGGCTAATAGGAGAAAACATTATTTCAGGGATTTGGCTGATAGAAGAGAGCTATTAAAATTGGAAAGTGAAGCATAGTTATAAAAGGATTAGAGATCAGTTTTAATGAGAAAGCATAGGCTTGCACTGGGCTTTGACTCCTTTTGCCTAAATGTTTATTTTTTTCATTGAGGTTTAATTGACATGTAATATTATATTGGTTTCAGATATACAACATAATGATTCAGAATTTTTATATATTGTGAAATGATCACAACCATAAGTCTAGTTAACATCTGTTACCATATATAGTTACAGGGTTTTTTTTTTTCTTGTGATGAATTTTGAGATTTACTATCTTAGCAACTTTCAGATATGCAGTACATTATCATTAACTGCAGTTGCCATGCTATACATTACATCCCCATGACTTGTTTATTTTATGACTGGAAAGTTGTACCTTTTTACTCCCTTTACCCATTTTTCACACCCCACCCCCCAAATTTTTATCTTAATCTTATTTTCTCATTTGTTTACTAATCTTGAGCAAGTCACTCTTAAGATTAAAAAAAAACTTTTATTGAAGTATAATATATAACATACTTAAAAAGTGCATAAACGAAGGGTATGGTTTGAATGTAATGTGAACACACCCATGTAACTACCACTCAGAACTAGGTAGAACGTACTATCAGCCCAGAGGCTTCCCTTTGCCCTCTCGCGGTAACCTACCTATACACGCTCCTCAAAGACCTGATGCCTGTCACTGCAGATTAGTTCTACCTATATCTGAACTTCATACAACTGAAAATCATATAGCATGTTCTCCTGTGTGTCTGACTTTTATTCAATGTTACATTTGTGAGGTTGTTCCATGTAGTTGCATGGGGCAGTAGTTTACTCTTTTATGTATGAGTATAACATCCCATTTTAGGAACATACCATCGTTACTTATCTATTCTGCTGTTGATGGGTATTAAGGCTGTTTGTAGTTTTTGATTGTTAAAAATAATGCTTCTTTGAAAAACCTTCTTAATGTCTTATTGTACAGAAGTGCTCATCTTACTGTCATTTGTGGTCAGATGTATGTTCACCTTTATTAGACACTGTCAGTTAGTTTTCCAGACTAGTTGTACTAATTTGCCGTTCCACAGTAACATGAATGTTGGCATTTGTGTCATATTCTCAGCAGTACTTGGTCTAACCTGTTTTATTTTAGTCATACTGCTGTCCCTGGTAGTTTTTTGCATTTTCCTAATAAACAATAAGCACCATTTTTATGTATTTTTTAGTCACTTGGATAGCCTTTTTTGTGAAGGGCCTGCTGTTTGCACACTTAAAAGAAATTGGATTATCTTATTGATTTATGGGGTTTATATATATTTTTTGTATGTAAGTCCTTTGTTGAATATACATATTGAAAATATCTTCTCCTATTTTGTGATTTGCCTTTTCACTTTCTTAATGATGTCTTTTGATGAAAAGAAGTTTTTAGTTTTAATGAAGTTCAATTTAGCTACCTTTCTTTTATAATTAATTCTTTTGGGACCTGTTTATAAAATTTTTGTTCAATGTAAGGTCGTGAAAATACTCTATGTTTTCTGCTAGAAGCTTTGTTTTATTTTTCACATTTTGGTGTATAATCTATCTGGAAGTAATTCCTGTGTAAGTTATGGATGTGAAGTAGGGACAGTACCATGTATTTTTTCCCTATTGCACTTCAGTGGTTCCCCTGTTACATAGCAGGCATTTTGTATGTATGGATCTGTTTTTGGATTCTCTTTTATCCTGTTGGCCTATTTGTCTGTCTTTGCTTATTGTACTTTAGAAGGCTTGATGTAATTTCTCTTTCTTTTTTGAATTCAATTTGCTGGTCTTTTTTCTTTAGCTTTCTGAGATGGAAGCTTGTATAATTGATTTTCAGTTTTTCTTCTTTTATATACATTTAAAACATTAAGAGTTTTCTTGTAATCATGGCTTTAGTTCAGTTTTACAAGCCTTGATATGTAATATTTTCATTACTATTTAGTTAAAAATATTTAAAAATTTCCCCTGTGGTTTCTTTTTAAACCCATAGATTAATTAGATACATACCACCTAATTTCCAAACATGTGGGATTTTCAATATTTTTTTTGTTACTGATTTCATTATTTAAAATGTACTGTCTTATTTTATCCCAGCATATGGTATTTTGGTAAATGTTTTATGTACACTTGAAACGAATGTGTCTTTTGCCATAGTTGATTGTAATGTTAGATATATCTATATATCAATTCGGTCCAATTTATCAATTTTGCTGTTCAGGTCTTCTATACTGCTAATTGATTTTGTGTCACTTTTTTCATCAAGTACTGAGGTGCATTATTCTCCAAATATCACTCCAGTCTCTGTCTCCAGTGTCACATGGCCTTATTTTCAGGTGTCTCCTTGATGTCTTTGTCCAGATTTTCCTCTTCCTATGAAGGGCACCAGTCATTGGATTGGGGACCACCCTAATCCAGCATGACCTGATTTTAACTTGATTGTATCTGCAAAGCCTCTGTATCCAAATAAGGTCACCTTTATAGGTGTTTGGGGTTAGGACTCATACCTTTTTGGTAGGACACAATTCAACTCAACAGATGTTTTAAAGCTTTTTCTTAAAATTGAATGCAACCTGTATAACTGATTTTTTTGGTGTGATTCATCCAATGCCAGCTCCTCCATCTTAGCCCAAATGGAGAGGGTTTTAAAATGAGGGTTTTAAAATTTAAGTTTTAAAATAAATAATACATTCATATAGTTCAAAATTCAAATGTATATAGTCTCATACAGTCTTATACAGTGAGTATTGCCCATCTCTGTCCTTTTGCTATCTAGTTTCTTTCCTCTTTTGTGATCAAAATTATAGTATCGTGTTTATCCTTTTCTGACATGCAAAATGAAAGATTTTAAACTGATTGGTTTCTAATAAGTTTTCCATCCCAGATAGTCTCTGAGTCCTGATCCTTTTCCACATAGAATAACCTCATCAGATTTTGTAAAAAAAAAAAAAAGTCAGTGAAAGACTAATATTAACCCATATAGATTTTTTAAAGCCAGTCATTAATTTTTTTGTAGGCAATTGTTCTTATGTCAATAAAAGCAAACATCAAAATATCACATTCTTTACTCTAATTTGTATTATTTCCTATTCCTTACTGTTTTGTGCTTCCTATTTATTCAATTGTGAGGAAATTTTGAATTAGTTGATGTGTCAGTGGAAATAATTTTATTTAATTACCAAAAACAATTAGAGACACCTTGTTTGAAAGGCTTTTTAGTGTTAAAATTCTCAGTAGTGCTGATCTGCATCCATTATTAGGCAGCATTCTCTTGCATAATAAGTATATCTTTTTACAGTGCTCTCTCAGAGGAGGAGAAATCTACATTGCGTGCAGGGCTAATCACCAATTTCAATGAACCAATAAACCAGGTTAGTAAGAAAATGAATGCTAACTGTTCTTTCTCTCCCCTTAATTTTGCTTCTTTTTCTAAACTAACTTTGTTTCTTGGCATTGAAAATAAAATCTTATTACATAATGTCTATTTGTGATGTTTATACACACATCTCTGATGGTTTTTAAATTTTGAGATCCAATTGTAGCTGTTAAGAATGTTGATTAGATTTGGCGATTAATGATTTAAAACTCAGGAGTCATTTTAAGATATACTTGCATAATTTTTTTTGTAACTGTGTCAGTTTGTGAGCCAGTATTGAAAGCACATCTCTATATATTTGTGGTCTTGCTGCATAGAAATTAATTTTAGTGATTTAGAACCCCCCTCCCCTCCTTGGTCCCCCTTTAAACTGCAGGATGGCTTCAGGTTTTCCTCTGTTTAGTTCATCACATTTTCAGTTCTCACTGTATGGGAGGGTAGATAGTAGATTATACAGTTTTATTTTTTCTTTCCCTTATAGTGAGATTTTTCTTTTAAGAATAAAATAATTAAATTTACAAAAATTATTTAATTTTTCCAAGTTACTACTGTTTCTTACATTGATTCTTTTAACTTGAGTATTAAAGCACACTGATGTGTATCCAGTACAGTTTTATCTCAGCTTATTTAAATGATCCAAGTTCTCTCCTTTGCAGTTCCTCAGATGAGGAGATGAGGGAAGATGGAGAGAACAGTTACTCTCCGTAGGGCAGGAGGGTTTGGGTGATTGAGGGGTAAACTATTGTTTAGGTGTTTTGGCAACCAGCATTTGTGAAAACACTAATCTTAATAAATATCATTATTTAAATACCTAATATTTGTTGTTCATTTCTTCTCTTAGGTCAGTGGTTCTCAAACTTTGTGTCCTTAGAACTTCCTTATACTGCTAAAATAAAACCCTGAAGGGTTCTATCTGTTGATACTTACTGTATTAGAAATTAAAACTGAGAAATTTTAAAATAGTTTTTAATTAATTAAAAAGTTATAAAACCCTTATTTGTTAATAAGTAGAATTTAAAAAAGTGAATATTAGCTATTTCCCCAAACAACAATATTTATTGAGAATAGTGGCGTTCTGCATTTTTGCCTATTTCTTTAGTGTCTGGCTGTTTATAAGAAGATGTCTAGATTTTCATATCACCTTCTTCATTTATTGTGTTGTGATATATTATTTTGATCGAAGTTATATGGTAAAATCTAGTTTCACACTGGAATATTGTTGGGAAAGGGAGGACCTCACAGAAAGGATCCTAGGCCCCCTAGGGATCCATAGACCACACTGAGAACTACTATCTTAAGCAGTTCAGTGAAATCTCATTCACTTTTGTCTAATGTATAATTAACCAAAGAAGTAATTTCCAACAATGAATGAATACCTTATTGAGTGCTTTAATTTCATACCTTTTTTTCAGAAGATTAATTTTTTCTCCTTCTAGATTGCAACTCAGATTGCAGTGCTGATTGCAAAAGTTGCTCGATTGGACTGTCCTAGACAGTGGCCTGAACTGATTCCTACTCTTATAGAATCTGTGAAAGTCCAAGATGATCTTCGACAGCACAGAGCATTACTTACCTTCTATCATGTTACCAAGACTCTGGCGTCTAAACGTCTGGCTGCTGATAGAAAACTGTTTTATGATGTGAGTGATTTAACGTAGTTAATTTGACTATGAAAACTGTGCTACCTGTATCACAATGTCCATAATTTTACTCCTAAATATATTATTGAAGGATTCTGAATACTTTTTAATTGACCTCAGAGGGTTCAGAATAACAGATATCTGAAAAGTTTTAAGCTGGAAAGTGATCTGACCAGTGAGATCACTCAGTTGCCAGTGAGGAGGATTGGTTGGTAGAGAGCAGTATGAAGGCAAAGGGACTAGTTTGAGGCTGACGTTGTTCAGTGGTAAAAAGAACATTTAGGAGGATATAGAGTTGAAATTTAGGAAGTTAAAGTTGACATGCCTGGGTAATTAATGGATGTAAGATCTCCCTTTTAATAATATGTTTACTTTAATGCTAAGATGGTCTTCATGTACAAAATTATTTTCCCATATAACAAAAGCATAAGCTCCTAGTTGAGCTGGTTGGTATGGCAGAGTAGTGCAGTGTACACTTAAAACCCTCCCTACTGCTCTACATGTCCCAACAGTTTTTATAGCTTGTTTTCCCTCTACACGAAATTCGCCTCAGAGGTGACAAATTACAAAAACAACAGTAGAGAGAAAATTGTTTTCCAGTAACAGTATTGAGCTTGATTAGACACAAAGGGAATTTGTTTTCTAGAAAACCATATGATTTTAATACAAACATGATTATAAAAGTTGACATTAAGTACAGTTAAAATCTAAAGTCTATGAAAGCAAGGAAATTTAAGGTAGTATTGGTAATTCTAATGTAATTATAAATGTATTAACCAAATAATATCTTGTAAACATGGTATGTAACCACAAAGGTATATGCTGTAGTAAATGAAGTAACCCAAACCAAAAAAGAAAAGATTTTTTGGAAGCAAGTATATTTCACTTGGTTTTTAGAAATATGGGTTAACAATTATGAGAAGACCTGTTTTCCAGTGAAGAATGTTTGTAACTAAGCAGCAATGGGATTTGGGCAAGACATTTAAGCTTTATGAATCTTTAAAATTTCCTTTCAGTTCTAAAATTGTGTGATTCTATGAATTTATATCCTTTATTATTCCAAGTTAATCTATATAAACACCATTAAAGTTTTGAGATTGAAATCTCAATTACAGCATAATTTAAATATTGATTTTGCATTTTTAAGCACTCTTTTTCCTAGAAGACCTTTTTGTGTACATTTAGTTTTATTTTTTCTTTTGTATTTTCTTGACATACAGTTATGTTGTTGATCTAATGGCTTTATTAGATACTTTGATGTGCAGTTTTGTATATGACTAGTTAAACATTTTTTGCAATTAAGAAAATTTCAAATATAGTCTAGTTGAGAGAATAATACAACAACCCCTATATACTCTTCAGTCATATTTAACAGTTCTTAAGGTGTTGTCACGTTTGTTTTCCTCTTTGCTAGAGCAGGTCTTGATACGTCATTTCATTCAATAATATTTAGAGTATGAATCTAAAAAACAGCATTTTCCCTAACCAGTTTTTATTATGATTTTTTAAGGCTGTATATTAGGAATTAATCTTAAATTTTTACTTCTTCCTAAAAGTCAGTCAATAGGTATTGATTGCCTGCTATGTGCAAGAGATATGTATGATGCTGAAGGAGATGAAAGACACAAATTGTCTCTTGACATTCATAGGGAATGTCGTTAAGACACAGACCCTCAAAGATCATTTAGTAAACTGTTAGAATCTGCCA